GGGCATGAGCTCTCCCCTGCCCGGAGGCTGGCAGCTGTGCTGGAACCTGGGGCAGTGAGTGGCTAACCCCGTGCCCTCCCCCCCTCCCCTCCGCCGCACAGTAAATATACCTCCGGCACAGAAAAGTCTTGTATACCCCGTGGGTTATATTCGTGTGTGGGGTATGCAAGATTTTTTTTTTACTGAAATAGAAAAAAACATGGGATATATTCGAGTGCGGAGTATATTTGCTAAATTACGGTAGTTAAATATTAGGTTGACCTCACTTTAACTAGTTAACTGATTCACTGGGATTTTAGGTCCTTAACTCAGACCTCATTGGGTCAGGAGCCAAATTAGTGACCAGTATTACTCAAGAGACAAAGGGGTGTGAATTGATATTAGAATACTAGATATTCCTGTTTTAAACAGCATTACAGGAGATACAGCTATATAAAATGGCCAAGTAGTCTTACCAATTACATTTGCTTAATAGTATAATAAAAGCATCCTGATTGGTTAATAAATTTGATGCTCACAAACTGCTCTTGAATGTGTCTCCCTGTGGCACATCAAACACTAATTTAGTCGATCTATCTGAGTGTTGTTGTATTAAAGTCCTCTGTTATAGTGTGATCTGAGGGTATATTCAAAATACTCTAAATTGTACTATAACTTTGAGGACTTGAATACATTTCCCAGGCTTGTAATTAAAATAACCTCCAATAGACTTAAAACATGCTGCTGCTTATGGGTACAAAATCTATGGCGTTTGGGATTGAAAACTTGTTGCACATCATGGACTTTCTTAGAGTTTGTTCTGCCTTCTAAAGTTGAAGTCCCTTAGCGAGTTAGATGCAAAGTGACTCTCAAAATGTGAAGACTGTTTTCTGACCTCTTTGCTAATTCTGTTGAAAACATAAAAGGAGGAGCAAAGAGATCTAAGTTCTTGCTTCCCTTGTGATTTGTGACAACACAAGCATGGCCATGATGCAAAAGTACTTCCAAGTGGAGATTCAATAGTGGAGAAGATGATAATGCTTTCACTTTTAACCATGATGGACTGCAACCTGAATTGAAAGGGTTTAAGCTGCTTTGCTTAAAGTGCACATAATTGGTTTAATTTGGAGCCTATTCTGCTTACAAAAACAAACAAAAAACCCTTGCGGTTTGCACATTAAAAATATAAATGTGCGAGAAATAAAAGCGTAAGTGCTCTTCCAAAGCTTATTTACTTTGAAAGAATACAAGAAAACACAATTTGCTCATTAGCTAGTAAGAAAATTAAACAGTTATCTTTCAAGAAGCTTGTAAATTCTGTTATCAAGTTCATACCACCCTTTTCAAAAATAACCATTTCATTGATAATTGTTTTAGAAAAAGGAGCGCTGCATAAGAATCTAGGGGATAAGTAAAGAAAATGATGGCTGGTCAATGATGTATAGAGGATTCCAGGAATAATAAAACTAGTGAGTTACATCTTTGGGACAATAGATGCTATCCCTTGCTTCTACTCACTTAACCGAGTCAGGATCCTTTGATTCATAGTAAAGAGGAAGTTGGCAAAAGCTAGGCCTGAGGAATAGAAAAGCATAGATCAAACCACCATCTTGTACCTCTTTGCTCTGCAGATGCCCTTCACTGTTGGTGGTTGGTGACAGTTCTCCTGCTGTTGATGCTGTGGTAGGTATAGTCAGACTTTCATGGTTAAAGAAGATTCTTTTCCTTTGTATTAATATGTGAACTAGGAAATTATGCTAGCATTTTAGAAGTCACAGCACAAAAAGGAAAGATACTCTTTTTCCTTTCAGATGTTTCACGACAGAGTTGTCACTCTTCTTAGCTTTCTAGGCCTTTGTCTGGATAACATTAATAGCAACTCTCCATAGAACAGTAGCCACAGTGGTCTGCTAGGCATATGAGGAGCTGGTTGAGGAAAACTGAACTGAAGTTTTTCCTTCATATTCTCTTCTATAGCCAGTATTGTAACATGTTCTCAGCTTGTTTTTCTTTGGCTTACTCTGGAAGTAGCATGTCACTTTGGTAGATGTAGCTAGCCTTAGATGGCTGAATGACTTCAAATGTTCCTTAATTGGGATGTACACTCCTTGTCCATATGGCCGCTTACCATCTGGATTCTACCACATGCCCATCAGTTGCAACAAATCCTGTATATCATGTCATACAATGTTTGAAGCACATAACTCTCCAAATTCTTTGCTAATGGACTCGTTAAACATGTGGGAATAATAGACAATTATTGCGAAACTTGAATAATATATTTTACATTAACACCCCCTCCCAGGCTTTTAATGTAATCTTTAGAGTATACCAAACCCTTTCAAAGAACAAGGTATTAATAAAATTAAGAAATAGTAAATAAGAGAATAGTGAAGAACTAATTAGCTCAAAATAATGGTCTCAAAGATGATAATATGATGCTAACTCTTTATTTTTTCCATACAGGTTGAGTGCAACTCTAAATTGGACCCAACAAAGACCACACTCTTGAAGGTAATAGGAATAAGAAACATACTTTTCAGTTTCTGATCATAAATTCAAGACCATTTTAGTTACATATGACACATGTACACGGTACTTTAAACTTGCAGACAAAAATGGCTTTAAGGTATAAATTTTTTCATGAACATACAGAACTTCAGGGGTTGAAACCCTGAACTAAACATTCAGAGGATGATATTGGCTGTTAATTTATCTAATGCATTTTTAAAACTGGCACTTGGCAGGATTGAGGTAGTTTTAGTGAAATAAACTGTATTGTCCATGTAAAATGCTGCTGCAATACAAGCTAGTCAGGTTCCTGCTAATAATTGTTTGCATCAAAGGAATAATAGTAACTATATTTCCTGCTGGATTTCAGTAGCCAGACATTGTCAAATCTGTTTAATCACAAGTGATTAATAAACAACTTTCTCTTAATTGCCTTGTCAAGGCCAAACTAGATCAGAGGTAAAATGAAAACTATTCTAATATTATACATATATACAAAACAGGCTTCAATCAATTGTGAAATTTATTAGACGTGGGCTTTGACCTGTTGAATGGTCATTTTTGGATTGGCAAAACAGTACAAACCTGAAACTTTAACAGGGCTTGAGACAGGAGAATGGGGACAAATGTGCAAAATCCTAAACAGATATTGTTTAATTTTGACTGAAGGAATGACCTACCAGATTAAAATGATGTAGCTGATGCTCAGAAGCCTAAAATTTGGATTTAATAGCTTTGTTCTGGTCCCTAATAGCAGTTATGTAGATAGTACAATTGCTTTGTTCTTTTTCTGAGAGCAGGCCAGGTATCCACAAACATTTTGGACCCAAGACCACAGCAAGTAGCATGATAATATCACAGGCCAATGTCTAGGATAGCTGAGTTGCCCCGTGTAAAGAGCTGAGATTCTGCTTCGTGTCCTGCACAAGTTTCAGGCTCAGTATACCCTATCCCACAGTTTGAGTACAGTAATTCACATGCCTGTAATCCAAAGTCTTATGCTGTCATTCCCCTGTGCGAGCACTGAGCATGTGAACTGAACATTACCTAGTGTGTGTTAATATTACAGAGCAGCACTCTTGTGTGTGTTGCAATTTGTACCCCGGAAGTTCCCAACTACATATCAACGTAGATGAGTCCCCAGTTGTCTTAGACTATCTGCACTGCAAGTTAGGGATAGGATTTGCCTGCTTGTATACACCTATTCACGGCCTCTCTGAAGTTAGCAGAAAGCTAAATGCTGGTTGTCAGTGGGTTTGCACTTGGCATGGCTCAGTAATGCAGCCACTACCACTTCCTGCGCTACCATGGTTATGTTGCTATTTTTATTTGCACTAGCTTGGAGAGGTGGTGCAGATGTGTATGTGCATTGGGAAAACCCACCCCAACATGCATTGTAGACATTCTTAAAGGAGTACTGAACTGCAGACATTCTACTTGCATTGTTCTGACTGGCACACGGGCAAACTATTAGCTAGATCAGGGTGGACAAGATATCTCTTGTGGCCCAGATCTGGCCCGCCAAACCACTGGATCCAGCTTGCAGGCCCCCCTGCTGGGACCCTCAGGCACGCAGTAACCGCTGTTTTAAACTCAAGACTGCTCAGAGTGCCTCTATGCTCTGGAGGGAAAGGTAAGCTTCCTGTGATCTCCCTGCCTCCTTCCCAGTCCTCAGCTCCCATTGGCTGGAAAAAACTGGCCAATAGGAACTGACCCCAGCCAATCTCTCCGCTCCTGTTGGCTGGAAACAATGTGAGAGACATGGGCTACACAAACCTCTTCTCCCTTCCCCTCCCTTCTAGAGCAGAGAGTTGCGTCCATTTTCAAGTTGTCTGGGGCTGCAGCAGGCACTGCTGCTTTGTGGTGTTTCAAAGCAGCGCTGCACGGAGCTGACCCCTGGCCTCATGTGGCACTGCCCCTTTGAAGTGCCCCCTTTCTCCCCCCCCCCCCCTTTGCTGACTGTATGATGGCTCCAGAGTAGGGTACTTTATATATGATAGAGGCAGCAGAGGGGGGAGAATCGACTAGTCAACTGACTATTCAATAAGCATTTGCTTATCAGTTAGTCCTTAACATCCTTACTCTGCGCCCCTCTGTCCCAGGTCACAACTCCCTCCCAAACCAGAATCCTCTCCTGCACCTATACTCCCTCCCTGACCCCAATCGCTCACCTAGGTTACAACTTCCTCCTTCACCCATACTGCCTCTGACCTCACACACCCTTGCACCCCAGTCCCTTACCCCATGTACCTTTCTGTAATCCACCTCCATCCTAGACCCCGCATCTCCTCAGAAAAGTGAGGCCCTGAGCATGTTCCAAAATCTTGGAGTGGCTCCTCACCAAAAAATAGTGTCCACTTCTGAGCTAGATAGTGTTTCCAAGGTGTCTGTACCAGTCTTGCACTGTCTGATATATTCAACTTGAATGCTGATTTGATATCTTGATTCTAGACCAATTCCTTTAACGGGTATGCAGGTTAATTACTCCTGAACCTTGACTTAAACCTTTTGCAACTGATACAGTAGGTGTTGAACTCATGTTTGAAACTTTAAAGTTTCAGCAAAAGTAAACTCATTCACTTTATTTGCAGATTCTGGTCTTCCTGCAACATGAAAACAAGTTGTGATAACTAGAATAAATATGGCAGTGCATGAAAATCAGAACATTACATATACGGCAGCCTTTTTCTTTTACTATGGGCTGCTTTTCCAGCATAGCTCGGAGTCAGAAATGCTTTTAATATTTCCCTGTATTTGATCCTGTTCTCTTTTCTCCCCAATCATAAATTCTTAGAGTGATTTCTCATGTCCATTCTGTGTAGGTGTGCACGCAGTGTCAGAAGTTTTTTCCATTAGCAATACCCATTGCTCCAGCAGGGGAGCCCCCCCAGGAGTTGCACTGCTATATTGGCTAATATATACCCCTGCTGGCCCTCCACCCCTTCAGTTCCTTCTTACCTCTTGAGACGGTTATTGGAACATGCTTTGCAAGCACCTCTTAGCAGTTCTCCTATTCTGTAGGTTAGTGTTTTCTGGTTAATTGTTCTTTCTCCTGTAGTTTGTGTTGGTAGTTGACTTCAGCACCGGGGCTCACTTTGCGTCCCCATCATGTGCAGCGGGACATGCCTGTGCCCTGAGGCTTCACACCCTGTGTCATGTGCCCGAAGCGTATGCCCTGTGGGGATCCCCGCAAAGCCCATGTGTCAGAATCCTGCAAGATCTGCAGGGACTTCAGGCCATGTACCAAGTGGAGTCCTGCCTGAAGATTCTCCTAATGGAGGCGGCTCTTTGCCCAGCACTGGACCTGACACCGACAACCCAGAGTTCACTGGCTTTGGTGTACGCGGCACCTAGCCACTTGTGTGCGCTTCCCTGGCTCTGCAGAGACCTCGATACTGGTCTCAATCCTCAGTGCCTCAAAAGAAATGGAGACCTGGCAGGGGCAGGTCTCAGTTAAGGCATGTGTTGGCAGTACACCCTCAGACGGGGCACGTGGCACCAGTGGGCTGAGCACACAGCCCGTTGAGGTTGGATTGGCAGTAGTCCAACCCATGCTGGGATCCCACCCAGTGGAGGACCTTTCAGAACCCTTGATGTTGGATACCTTTGAGATCACAAGAGACCTTATTGAACTGACTTCATCTCCAGCATCGGGGTTGGTGAGGGAACAGGATTCCAGATAGCACCATGCCGAAGTCTCGGTGCCAGCCTCGAGGGGATGGCATCACCTCTGTCAACGGCTCAGGCCCTGACACAGACATAGGCTATGCACAGGGCACAGCCTTTGCCAGCGGGCCCTCCTGTGCACGTAGCTCAGAGTTCCAACATCAGATCCTGTTATACTGCTTCCACCGCCTCCCCCTCCACCTCAGCACTGCAGGAAGCCTCCTGCAAGGAGGTTTATAGGATCTGTCGAAAAAGGCTTTCTTTCTCAACAGATCCCCCTCTAGACTGCCACTTTTTGCTGACAAAGCGCTGAGCCGATAAAACGCAGTGGCCATTTTTATACAAATTAGGCGCAGGATATTTAAATCCCTGCCTCATTTGCAGTGTCAACCTGACTAATCTGCATCTCTCTGCTGACAAAGGGATGCAGTCTATACATACCCTTAAAGTGCCCCAGTGGAATCTCAGCTTTCCATCTGAGAGTCTGGCTGCTCAAGCTCCCTAGGTAGGCTCTCCCCAAGGTATGGACAAACTTCACCCTCTGGCTTGGTGTCCTGACCCTGCTTAGGACCTCAGTCTGGTCCTTTCTGCACTCATGGGTCTCCCCTCTCACCCTTCCCCCCCATGTTCGCTGCTTTACCTTTCATGGAAAGTGGCCTTTCCAGTTGCAATCACTTCTGTTTGGATATCAGAACTTCATGTCCTGATGCCAGAACTCCCATACACAGCCTTCCGTAAGGACAAGGTTCAGATTTGATATCACCTGGCATTTCTTTTGAAAGCCTTCTCGTTTCCACACTGGGCAGGATGTTTTTCTCCATGTGTTCTACCATTAACCCCACCAAAACTCACATGAACAAAGACTGCGCACTCGCTTTCTACATCAGCCAGACAAAAGCCCTTTTGCAGTCCTCATAGCTTTTTGTGGTGTGGCAGATTGTGAAAGGACTGCCAATCTCACCCCAGGAAATCCCTCCTTGGATCGTGTCCACATGTATTATGATCTGGCCCATGGTCTTCCCGCTGCGTCTCCTGATGCTTTCTATGTGAGCACAAGCTTCTTGGTTGGCTTTCCTGGCTCACGTAGTATTCCAGGAAATCTGCAGAGCCACAATGTGGTCTTTGCATACCTTCATAACTACCTCCTTTGGCGCAACATTCAAGACCGAATGTGATCTTTGGTTCTGCGGTCCTCAAATCAAGTTCCATGGTCCTCTGACTCTGACCCCCTACTCATGGGTAAAGTTTGAGAGTCACCTAATTGGAATAGATATGAGCAGGCACTTGAAGAAAAAATGGTTACTCACCTTTTGTAACTGTTCTTCAAAACATGTTGCTCTCATCTGTTTCATATACCCCTTCTGCTTCCCTACTATCAGAGTAGCCAGCAAGAAGGATCAGAGGGGCAGTTGGGTTGGCAGTCTCATACATAAGACGTTGCATCAGTGCTAGTCCATTGGGTTCTGGTGGATAGCAGCTAGAGTGAAAATTTCCTGGCTGCTATGTATGCAGCATGTTCACACCTAATTGAAATAGATATAAGCAACACATCTCGAACAGTTACCAAAAATGAGTAACTGTTTTTTATTAAAAACCTTATATTTCCTGCTACTCAAGCTTTCCTATCTGCAATGAGAATAAAAGTCTCCCTCAAGTGCTTTGAAGTGACACATACCTGAACCTTGAATGTATTTCTTTGGTACGATCTTGGCACTCAAAGGAACTCCTGTTCCACCATTTATGCTGACCTACCTTTGTTTACTTTCTTGTAGATGGCAGACTGTGGTGGTCTCCCTCAAGTTTCCCAGGTAAGATTGATATTAATATCAATCATGCGCTTTCGTGGGCAAACCACTCAAGCTCATCTGAATAAGTGTGTTTTGCCCTCAAAAGTTCCTACTATACATATTTTTGTTAGTTTTTAAGGTGACACAAGATTACTTGTTCGTTTAAAGTTATGGACTAACATGGCTGCTCTTCAGACTTGTTACACTAGTCTGTTTTTGTCGATTGTGCCAAATGGGCTCTATTCTGAAGGGTATTCTTTGTTTCCAAATGTTAAGCCAAGTGACTAGTGATTATTCATGAATAATGTTGGCATTCAGTCACCTGATCTCTCTTCTCTAAAGGCCAGCCAAGCACAAAATTAAGATTAGGACGGGATGTTATTTCTGCCAATCAAGCCTGAACTGGAGTGGGGAATGTAGAAACATGCTTACCACTAAATTAATGTGGATTACTGCTTATGGAGGATCATTAAGTCAAGTGGTTTAGTTTTTTTTTGTGTTTATAGTTCAGGGTGGGAGACAGGAAATAACTAGTCTGTTCTTAAATGCACTGATCTATCTTAGCAAAATGAACAATGTTTTGAAACACATTTAGACATAAATTCCAAGATTCCTAATGCAACAGGTTATGTACGCTATAGTATTTCTAGTGCCTCTTCACTAAAACAGGTGAACTATACATTAACTTGTAGGGTGTATATTTTGTTATAGTTTGAGCCAAATGGAGATATAAGCATGAAATGTTGTTGCTCTGAAGAAACTGGAATTTCTAAACCACTAAACTGAAAAAAGATGAGCATTGCATACAGTGTATAATGTGATCAGTGATAGAGAAGGGTGCTAGAAAGATACCCTTTTTATTTAACCTTCTTAAAATTTGTTTAGAATGGCAAAGTCTTAAGTAAGAAAGTTGAATAACAACATAGAGCTTATTATGCTCTTCCTGGTGATGTAGGTAAACCACAAAAGTCGTCATTCTGTAGATTTGGGGTATAAAAGAAGATGTTGCCTGTACTGCAAAGTACAATCCTGCATAAGTTCAATTTAAATTGTCACCTCTGTTTTATTACTTGAGTTAATTGTTTTGCCTGATATCAGAGGAAAATATTCTTGTGCATGTGAGTGCAGCAGTTCAAGGACAAAACCAGTCTATTAAATTATGCTTGCCTAATCTTACTAAATTTGAGGAAAAACTTTTCAATGCAGAACACACCAAAACTTCAGTTAGAATTGTTCTAGAAACTGCTATAATGGTTACCAGCCCTCCATAAACAGTCTTTGGTGCTTTGTGAGGCAAATGTTACTTTGAACCTCCTGCTATAGTAACAGAGTTAGCAAAACTTGAGACTGGTTCAGGTCAGTTGGAAAATTGTTTATTCAGTCATGCTACACATGAATGTTCATGTATAGTAGGTATATAATGTGGGAGGAGAACAAAATCTGAACTGGGGAATTTTCTGTTGTGTACTTATTTTTAACATGTCTGACACTACTCAATAGAACCAGAGGAGAGAATAAGACAGCATGTACTGTGATTACTGTATTCAATAAGCTTCCATTTCCTTTTACAGCCTGCAAAGCTTGCAGAAGCTTTCAAATATTTCATTCAGGGAATGGGATACAGTAAGTATTACTTTATTAAAAGAAAATGACTAGCTAGAGTAAATTGTGTAGTGTTCTAATAGATTAGGTTATAATCTAGCTTTTCAGAGAAAAGGGTTAGAATATTTACTTTCTGTAAAGGAAAGAAGGGTTTGTGGACCATAGCAGAGTGGCATGTGAGCTTTTGATCCAATCAGTGATATTGGTGCCGATGGGATTATATGTAGAGTTATGAGTTGCTGCAGTTCTATCTTGTACCTGCTCTCTCAGTATGACTGAACTGTGTACATTGTATGTATTTAACTGGTAATAAATTGCCTTGGTGCCAACTGAGATGTACACATGGTCTAATAGCAGGTTCAAGCTGTAGATTCTACTGTACTAGTTCATTGGAACAAGTGGGCCTCACCATAAAGAAATGCTCTTAGGCTTATTTGGATGCACAATTTTATAAAGATGCCCACAAATGAAGTGGTCCATTCCAACCAGAAGACCTAGTATGAAAATATTTCATTCTATTATATAAAATCTCCAGAGATTAACAGAACTAAGTTGACTCTACTGTACTGTATTCTGTGAACTATTGCATAGTATTTGTGAGAGAGTTACAACATGAACTATTGAGAATCTTTTTACTGCTCTTTATTTCCCTTCATTTTTTTTGCCTCATGGATTGGAGACTTGAATCTCTTGAATAATTTGGGACAGTATTTTAAAGCCAGACTAAAATGGAGCATGCAGTTGTAGGTCAGCATGTGGCACACTAGCAGGCATATGCAAACTTGCAAACCTCTGACCTGCCAGTATAAAGGCCAAATTGTTATGAGACTGTCCATGTGTGCGCCCAGTTTATATTTTTAAAAAAAGACATTTTTAAAAATACATGCACAACCAAGTTGCACAGCAGACCTTTGGTATTTGGCTTGCATGCATGTCCCCTGTATTTTTACAATGCCTAGATATTTAAACTGAATTTTTAAAATGTGAAGGGGAAAACTTAAGCTTCCTGTGAATGTTTGAGTTAGCATCTTCTGTATACAGCATTAGCTCTGCTGTGACATGAGTAATACCTGTAATATGAGTCTAAAATTATTTACCTCTAGAAATTGCACGTTCCCTTAACTGCCACTGCTGGTTATTGCAATTTAACTTGAAGTGTAGAGTTAAAGTAGCCAATGTCAGTTGTTAGGGTAAAATTACTACTCTGCTTTATACACTCGTGAATTGAAAGGCAGGGTTTTTTTTTAAACGCCTTGCTAACAAATTCAGTAGTTCTGTTTGATCAATTCATAACACATTTCCTACATGTACAGTAGTACTAATGTACAGTTTAACTTCATGCATCATGAACAGTGGGACTCTTTACATGTGTGAAGCTAAGCATGTGCACAAGTGTGTCTGTCAGCCTGAAAACAAGCACTTGCCTTCAATTCTCAATCACAATGAATTGTACTAAACAAATCCACTAACAAAGGACTTTTCTTTCAGTGCCTTCAGCTAGTATGACCAGGCTTATGAGGTCCCGTACAGCATCTGGTTCCAGCACCACATCCTTGGACGGACAGAGGAGCAGATCCCACACTGGGGAAGGAACAAGAAGCAGGTCCCATACCGGTGAGGGTGCCAGGAGCAGATCCCATACTGGTGATGGGTCCAGGAATCGCACTCACACAGACACACGCATTGAGCTCACTCCTAACTCTGCAAGCAATGCTGAACAACCTAGCCCCAAATCCATGGAAGTTTCCTGTTAAATATCGTTTTAAAAAAAAATCTGGATGTAGTTTGAAACTGTAAAAGTTTTAATGGTTGCCCACTGTGTATGGCAACACAACTGGTATTTAATCTCAAGCTTTTCAGTAAAACTAACTCTGTTCAGAGTTTGACAGGGACCAAAGAAAGCAAACATCTCAATTGCTCTATTTTTTTGTATTGCTCAATATGGATGGCTGCTGCTATTGTGCTCTCCTCCAACTGATGCCAAAACTTTAAGGGATGTTTGCCAAAAGCTAATATGGCTGTGAATACATCAGACAAACCAGACTCACCTAGCATCCTGGTCAATGTTTTGAACTGATATGCCCACTTCTTGTTTTATCTTTGGCTAAATAAAGTTACCCAGTTTGGTACATGATTTAAAAAAAAAAAAAAAAACTTTTTTTTTTTTTTTTGGAGGGGAGAAAGCAGTGCATTATAGGTGACTTCAAAAACAAACATGGTACAGCTCATGTTGAAGCTGGTGTTCAACTCAAAAGTGTATATAGTTTAATTTCAAATAATAGGAAAAATCGAACTTGTGCATTTATAGGCCTTCTAATTAATATTTGAGCCTGTTTTTCCTAAGTACAATAATATGCTAATAAAATAAAAACTTTTTGTATTTGCATTTTTTGAGATTCCGTTCCTATCTTCTCCTCCTTCCTTTGATCCTGAGATTTGCTTAGCCAAGTTAAGACCAGGTTTAATTTTTATAAGCAAATAAGCTTTTTCTCTTTGGCAAGATTTTGAACCAAAGAGCTCACAACACAGCAAAACTTGGTAGCATAGCTGTAACACTTAAAAGTAGCTGTACAATGACCGGTCATTGAAAGCAGTTTTACTTCATTGGGTGACTTTTAATCTTTGGAGTTTGAGGTTTTTTGAGTATTCAACATAATTCTATAAAACTCAGTTCTATAAACAAAGCCAGATGCAGCTGTTAATTGTTGAGGAAAGATGAAAAACTGAAGGATGGCTTGTAATTACTGTACACTCAACTGCCGCTAATCACTAGCTCCTAAAACCTCTGATTTTGAAGTTGCTGGTGCTGAGAAGTATATTCTACATAGTGGGAGGGATAACTTTATAATTGAGAAACACAATATTTAATGACTGTAAACTTAGCAGTGTGTGATCGTGCATCACATTGTAACCTAATTGATGGCCTGGGAAATCTCTTCTATTAGAAGTAAGTGGGTATGGCACTTTCTACCACCCACAGGTTTTCATAGCATTCTTCAGCTTTTCTTCCATACATACTGAGATCAGTCTTTCACTTGCTTTGATACATATTTGCTACATCACAATTCTTGTGTAGCTAATAAGTAAGATATTACTGCGTAGTTAAATAGCAAGTGTTAATACCTAAATATTTTGGATAATTCTCCTTGTTTCAGAAGAATACAACTTAATTAAGGTTACTCCATGTTGACTTACACTCTTGTGCAGAATTTCCCTGATCGTTGGTAGGACGAACAGACATATTAAAGAGACTAAAGCTGTTGTGTAAAGTCTATCAAAAGTTTTCTTGATGAACTGTTTGTATTTATTTCAAAACAAATAAATTTGTAACTTTGCAGTGTCTTGTGTCTTAATCCTGTATCCCAAGCACAGAAATCTTTGATTGCACTTGATAGCCTTTTCACATGCCTCAACTCTCAGGCTAAGCTGACCCTACCTGCTATCTAAATATTCTTTGTAGCTGGCATACTATGCTCTTGCAAATACACTGCAATGTATCCACTTTCTAAAGGTGCCCAGTAAAACATTCTGTTTGTAGTATCCCTGCACAGCAGGGTGGACTACACATCCTGTTTTTAAACTCTATCCCAGCTATCCTAACTTCTTGCAAAATTGTGGCTGCAATCCCTGGCAGGGCATAGAGGAGTGTGAAGGGGGAGTGGCCAGCAACCCCAATACGGCACAGGCAGGGCTTGGGAGAGCAGCTCAGCCCTGGTGCCTCAGGTGGGTGGGTAGGAAGGGGCCTAGTCCTGCATATGGGGTGGAGAGAAGAGTGCTTGGTCCAACTCCAGTCTGGGGGGGTGAGGAGGGCAGGGGCCTCATGTTAGCCTTGTGTGATGTCCATTTTCCCTTTAAGGGAAAACATGGTCACCTATTTCACAGTGTACTTCCTTATACTGGGGTGGGGATGGGAGGCTTAAGATACCTCTAGTCTAAGACCTCTCTCCCCTTTCCCCAATGGACTGAAGGGGAAGGAGGAACAGATGAAGATCCTAGAGGAAGAGTGAGCAGAAGGTTCTTTCTAACTGATAGGATCTGGAAAAGTGATTACATGAAAGGCAGGATCAGTGAGATCACACTTCTCCTTCCATGCCACTTCTTCCCTTTCACTTCACCAATCCTCTTAGGACTCCTTTTGTCTCCACCTTCAGCCTGCCCAGCCCTATTACGTATTATATCCTCTTGTCCATTGTCACTAAGCTGTTGAGTACAGGGATTTTTTTGCCCATGTGTAGGCATAATGGGGTCTTTAAACTAGAACCAAACCATAATTAATACTCTCAATTTCTAATACAAAATGTGGGATCCTGTGACCCAGTGTTCTGCAGAAGTTGACTTCCACAACACGCTTGAGGGAGGGAGCTTTTATCCCCATTTTATACATTGACCATGTAGTTTCCTTAGGCCTCTATACTGTATTCCACTCCCTACAGCCATGGTAAGCAAAACTCGTGTTGTAAGCAAAACTCGTGAAGTCATTCTGCCGCTCTACTCTGCACTAGTTAGGCCTCAGCTGGAGTACTGTGTCCAGTTCTGGGCGCCACACTTCAAGAAAGATGTGGAGAAATTGGAAAGGGTACAGAGAAGAGCGACAAGAATGATTAAAGGTTTAGAGAACATGACCTATGAAGCCAGGCTTCATGAACTGGGCTTGTTTAGTTTGGAAAAAAGATTAAGGGGGGGACATGATAGCGGTTTTCAAATATCTAAAAGGGTGTCACAAGGAGGAAGGAGAAAATTTGTTCCTCTTGGTTTCTGAGGACAGGACAAGGAGTAATGGGCTTAAAGTGCAGCAGGGGAGGTTTAGATTGGACATTATGAAAAAATTCCTAACTGTCAGGGTGGTCAAATATTGGAATAAATTGCCAAGGGAGGTGGTGGAATCTCCCTCTCTGGAGATATTTAAGAACAGGTTAGACAGACATGTCAGGGATGGTGTAGACGGAGCTTGGTCCTGCCTTGAGGGCGGGGGGCTGGACTCGATGACCTCTCGAGGTCCCTTCCAGTTCTATGATTCTATGGTCACCAACCCGTCGATCGGGACTGCTCAACCAGTCGATCGCAAGGCTTTCAGGGCCCCCCATTTCTCCCCACCCCCAAGAAGCCCCATTACGTACCTCTAGCGACAATGGAGGTAGTGCCGGCTTCCTGTGGGGTGGAAGTCCGGCATCTGCACACCACTTCTGGAGTTTCAGGAAGTGTGCTGGCTGCTCCCCCTCCCTCAAACAGCTGGTGCAGTACCAGACCCAGGTCTGTGGGGTTCTGGGGACTTGCTGTGCAGAGGGGAGAAGGGGGGGTGGGAGTCCCCAGAGGAGGCGCATGCTGGGGCTTCCCTTCTCTGGAGGGGGAGGGAGGCAGGGCTTCTCTCTGTGGAGGGGGGTGGAGTCCTGGGATGATGTGCGGGGGGTGCCCTCTTCTTGGTGTGTGGGGGGGGGGGGGAGAGAAGGAGGTAGGAGTCCTGCGGGGGATGCAGTGCCAGGGACTCCCTGTCCTGGCACCCTGCCCCAGCAACCTCTAGCACCCTTCCCCAGGACCATGTCCCCTGCTCCCACTAGGACAGTTGGGACCACATTAGTGATGCTGGGGACGGGGTTGGAGGAGTCATTTTTTTGCATGTCACTGGTGGGGCCACAACTGACTTTTCTGTGGGTCAGTGATCCCTGACTCAAAACAGGTTCCCTGCCCTTCTCATAAAGACAATGCTGAAACTTTTTGGCTGTCTAGACTGGCCAGTTTTTCTGGAAAAACTTGCCAGCTGTCTACACTGGCAGCTTGAATTTCTGCAAAAGCACTGACTTCCTACTTTAAGAAATATTCTGCTCCTGTTCAGGCAAAAGTCCCTTTTGCGCAAAGCTTTTCTGCAAATGGGCCAGTGTAGACAGTTCAGATTTGTTTTCCGCAAAAAGCCATTTTCATTATCGGGGCTTTTTTGCGGAAAAGTGCATCTAGATAGGCACGGACGCTTTTCCGCAAATCTAGACACTCTGTTCCGAAAATGCGTTTAACGGAAAACTTTTCCGTTAAAAGCATTTCCGGATAATCAGGCCAATCTAGACGCAGCTATGTGTTTAACATAATATTTTATTTAAAAATGAAGCCTGGCCAACAAACCCCCAATGGGGGCCAAGCCCCCATCTGGCTGCAGCATCATAACACTCCTGCACCACCTCACCTCCCAACCCTAGATCTGAGCCAATCATACACTGGAACCCCCCTGACCTAAGCCTTTCACATCCCCAAACTCCTGCACCCCCACATCCTCAGTCTTCTGCCACAACACTTCTGCTCCATCCCCACACTGCAAATCTGTGTCCTGAGCCTGGAATACTTCCAACCTCCCTGCCCTGAGCCCCTCACATACCCCAACCCAAACTGCATCTTCACATCCACAAGCCTGTGGCTTGCTCAGTACCTTAATTCTCCACCTGACCCCAACACTCCCTAGCCTGGAGCACCCTCCCTGAGCCAGTGTCCCCTTCTCCACCTCCTCCTGCATCCAAATTCCCTCTCAGAGCTTGCACCTTTCATCCCTTCCCACATCCAAATCCCTCATTCCCACCCCAGAGCCCATATATCTTGTCTCAACCCAGTGAGGGTACAGCTAGACAGCAGAAGTTTTTCTGGGATTAAAGAGGTATCCTGGAAAAACTTCTGTGTCCAGGGACATGTTTGTTCTTCTGCTTTTTTTTTAAGCAGAAGAGCAAACATGCTCTTTCAGTAACCCCTGTATTCCTTGTTCCATGAGGAATAAGGGGGCTTCCAAAAGAAGGGGGTTCTTCTGACATTTGGCCCAGTCTAGACAAGCCAAATGTTGGAAAAACCTCTTCCTAGAAGAATTGAAAAAAAGCAGCAGTGTAGCTGTATGTACCCTGAGAGTGTGTAAGGGCTGGGGATAGCAAGTGATGGAGAGGAGGAGGAGGAGGAGAACAGAGAGGGTGGGGCTTCAAGGAAGGGGTGGGGTCTTGGGGGAACGATGGGGCGGTAGATCTTGGCTTAGTCTGACATTTAAAACGTGATCTTGGGCGTAAAAAGGTTGGAGACCACTGCCTTACAGGTATGTCTACACACCAGTGTTATTTTGGAATAAATGGGTCTACATAGCAAGCTATCATTTCAAAATGTTGAGATGGAGGACTTACTCCGCCTCCTGTAACTCTCATTTCATGAGGAAGGGAAGTCGATGGAAGAGTGTTCTTCCTTTGACTTCCTGCTGTGTAGAAAGCTTAATTCGTCCTTTGGTGCCATTTCGACTTCAGCTACGGAATTGACATAGCTGAAGTTACGTATCTCAATTTGACTTTTGCTCTGCAGTGTAGATGTGCCCTAGGAGTACAGTTGGGAGTGGAGTACAGTACAGGAATCTGAACTTGGTATCCTTTAGAGCTCTTTGTCCTATTCCTTGGTCCTGCCTTGAGGGCGGGGGGCTGGACTCGATGACCTCTCGAGGTCCCTTCCAGTCCTATGATTCCTGCAGAAATGGGGAAGGGGAGAGAGGATTATGATCTGTCTTGCAGCAAACCTGTCCAAAACATCTCAAATACAGCTGCTTGTAAAACCAAAACCTAGATCTGTTCTTGTGCCAATCTGCACCCAACTCAGTTTTAAAACTGATCAGAATTGTGTGATTCATTACAGGCATACAATGTGTGTGTGTGTGTGTGTGTGTGTGTGTGTGTACTGCAGGACTATCTGTCATTTTTAAAGTTTTTGCAGAACTTTCATTTTACAATGCCAACCCCCGCCCCAGAATAAAAATCGCATGGAGCCTGCGACAGCCATGACCTTCACACTCCATTGAGGAGCATCCCATGAGAGCTATAGTTGGCAGTGGCATTCAGAACCAATATGTTGGAGTGTTTGACACAGGAGAGCTGGGGAAATCTTGATCAAGTTCAATCTGTGCAGGCTCTGTAGAGAACTGAATTAGACTAACAGAACAAGGGCACAGATGTGTGTGGTGGATAAAGAGAGCTTAGTAAGTATGCGTTGGATAAATCAACTGTCCTTACAGTGGGAGTGATTTAAGGGATCAGGATTTTCAATAGATGGATTTTCAGCTTTGCTTTGACTCTATTTTGGTCCCTTTTTTTTCCTCCCCTGGTCTAAGTGTAAAAAATTAAAAATAGTTATTCAGTCCAATACCAGAATTTCACAGAGCAGTGATTAGAGAGCATGGACCCTAACAATGGTCCCTTGATTTTTTTTCCATCCATATATGGAATAAATTCTGTGTGCACCAATAGAAACACATGCTGCTGTTTGTGGGAGACACTAGGTGGCATTGGGTCTCCTGGGGAGGAGGGTGCTCAAACACTTTACAGGGGACACTGGCCTGTA